GCTGACTCTTGGGTAATACAGGGAGAGAAAGAGTTCCCAAATGTTGAAGGGTGAGCATAAAACAGCAAAACACCACCAGCAAAAACAAACAAACAAAAAAACTAGACTGAATATTGCAGTCTATAATCACAGAATAGAGAGAGGAGGGAGAGAAGTGAAAAAAAAAAAAAAAATTCTGTAGCCTAATGCTAGTATGAGTTTAATGTCCTTTCTTCAGCTTCTTGCTTTCCAAGCTGCCTGAGAGATTCCAAGATGCTATTGTTGGTTGTTATGCTATACCTCAGGCTTTAATTTAACTTTAGGCCTGTTTTGTTTTTAAACTCTTTCCCTCTTCTACAGTCCTGTCCTGGCCTTTCCTGTGTTTAAAAAACAAAAACAAAAATGTTCAGGGCCAGCTTTTGGGCTGAGTGTATCTGTGCCCATGCATAGTAGAACTCACCAGTGGTGAGGGTGGGGGTGTCCACTTGTTCAGGCTCCCCTAGAATTCTAGTCACCAGAATGGAGGTGCCCATACAGTGGGGGACGTCAATGACCAGATACGAAAAAAAAAAAAAAAATCAGAACAAAGCAAAACCGACAAAGTGTATTGTTCACTTTTGCTCTGAGGTTCTTGCGGCATTTTTCCGTGGAGTGTCTGCTCTCCTGCTTGGTCTTGCCATTTGGTCTCACCCAAGATGTTGGCTCTGGGTCTCTGTGCCCAGCAGATTCAAAATTAAGCAACTACTTTCTTCAACTTCAAGTTCCAACAGCTATAAGCCTTCAAACTTTAGAAATATTCCCTTATCTGTGGTTCCTAGCTTTGGAGCTCTGCCCTGGATCTGATTTGCCTGGTATTCTGTGGTGTGGTTAACAGCAAACTTCACTGCACCTCCACCCTAGCTGCCATCAAGCCCTGCCTCAGCCACTTTCTAATTCTTCTACCTCTAATTGCTTTCATTTGTCTAATTATATTCACTAGTATTTTTAACGTGATGATTTTATATTTTGTAATTAGATATGTGTTTATTTTATTTTAAGGAGTATCCTTTAAAATAATATGAGTGGATATTACATTTTAACAAATGTCAGTAGTATATTTATGGACATGATCTATGAAATTTTTTCTCTCCTTAGTCTTACTAACAGACTGGAAACCACTGTTTGTAATCTCAGTACCGCATGCCATTCTGAAATTGTTGTTGTTAAGTGCTGTCAAGTTGGTGCTGACTCATAGTGACTGGTGTAGGGTTTCTGAGGAGCGGCTGGTGAGTTTGAACCACTGACCTTGCAGATTCTGTAATCAGATAGAATCACATGTATTAAGAAAGAATAAGGATCTAATGGGTAATTGGCTGCTGCTTGTGATGAGAAAGATCAGTCATTGTCCTTAGAACTTAATTATCATCATCACTGTAGTAGTAGAAGAAAGCATTTAAAAAGCATTTACTATTTGCTAGCGAGGAGCCTGGGATTCCTGGTGTGAGCTCTAGAATAAGCATGGAATTGTGAACTATAAGGCAGCAGTTCAAACCCACCAGCTGTTCCTCAAAAACCTTATATAGGGTTGCAATGAGTTGGCAACACTTGATGGCACTTAACAACAACAAGAAAGGAGCCCTGGTGTTGCAGTGGTTAAGTGCTCAACTGTTAACCAAAGGTTGGCAGTCCGAACCCACTAGCTGCTCTGTGGCAGAAAGATGGCAGTCTGCTTCTATAAAGACTGATCATCTTGGGAAACCCATGGGGCAGTTACACTCTGTCCTACATGGTTGCTATGAGTTGAAATCAATGCAATGGCAATAGGTTTGCTCTTGGTATTTCCCAGGTACCTAGTAAGGAGCCCTGCTGGCACAGTGGTTAAGTGCTTGCTTGTTAACTGAAAGGCTGGTGGCTCAAGCCTTCCAGTCATTCCAAGGGAGAAAGATGAGGGTGTCTGCTTCTGTAAAGATTACAGCCTTGGAAACCTCATAGGGACAATTCTACTCTGTTCTGTCGCGTTGCTAACGTGTCTGAATTGACTAAATGGCAACCTTTTTTTTTTTTTAAAGGTTTGTTATTGTTGTTGTTGAGTGCTGTTGAGTCGGTTAAGACCCATAGCGACACATAGCATTAAATAACATAAACCACGGCTATAAATCTTTATGAAAGCAGATTGCCACACCTTTATCCCAGGGAGTGGCTGTGAGTTTGAAAGGCGGTTTAATGTTTTACCACGGCACCGTCAGGGCCCCTTCTTATGAGGTATGGTCTTGCTGTTGTTAAGTGCCTTTGAGTGGGTAGCAACTTATAGCGACCCTGTATAGGATTTTCAAGGAATGGCTGGTGGGTTTGAACTGCTGACCCTGTAGTTAGCAGTTCAGTGCTTACCCTAACGTGCCACACTGTGAGTAGGTTTCCATTTTGTAGATGAAAAAATTAAGGTCCAAAGATGAAGTGACTTGCTCAAAGTTAATTAGTAAGTAGTAGCATGGGATTTGAACTTAAGTTGTTCATGTCCAAAGCCTGTTCTCTTGACCACTATGCAATACTCTTCTCTGTCGTTAAGTGCCGTCGAATTGGTTCCGACTCATAGCCACCCTGTATAGGGTTTCTGAGGCTGTCATCTTCACAGAAGCAGACTCCCTCATCTTTCTTGGAATGACTGGTAGGCTTGATTGATAGGTATGTTGCTGCTGTTGTTAGGTGCTATTGAGTAGATTCTGACTCATACCAACCCCGTGTATAGAGTAGAACTACCCCATACAATTTTGTAGGCTATCATATTTATAAGGCGCGCTGGTAGTGTAGTGGATTATGAGTTGGGCTCAGCAGTTTGAATTAACCAGGAGAAAGATGAGGCTTGCTGCTCTCATAAAGATGTACACGGGGTGGCTATGAGTTGCAACTGACTCCATGGCACACCACCAATCTTTACCAGAGCAGATTGTTAGGTTTGCTTTAACCAAGCTTCTGGGTGGGCTCAACCCACTAACCACAGGTTACCAGTGTGCCCTCAGGGTTCTTTCTATAGGCACACAGTCCTATTTATTATCAGGCAGGGAAGTATGTAAACACCTTTCCCATGTGCCTAGGAAACATCAGTGTTGGCCATGGAGAATGAGTTTCTGAACCTGCTTTCTCAGCACAAGTGTTTCATGGAGTTGAGCCTGCGGTTACTGGGCTCAAAGAGTATGTAGTTCGGGGCCTGATCTGCAACAAACTGTCAATAATCTTAGCGCATTAAGGATTTAAAATGCAATCTCAACAAAAACACAATATATACATCATTGCATATGTATCCATCGTTTTTGTGAGTCTTTATCAACTAAAACCAAACTGACTGCCATCAAGTTGATTGTACTCATAGCGACCCTATGTAGGGTTTCTGAAACTGCAAATCTTTACAGTAGCAAACAGCCTGGTCTTTCTCCTTGAAAGCTGTGGGTGGGTTTGAACCATTGACCTTGGGGTTAGCAGCCCAGTGCTTATTCAACAGTACCACCAGGACCTCTGCAAAATGTTATAACAGTCACAAATTTAGAGATAAGGATACATTAATAGACTCAGAGTAGCTTAATAGGTTTATGTCAAAGAAGAGACCTTTATTTCTTCTAATTTCAAGTTATTATAAGGATGTATGTTTAAAAAACACACCAAAAAACCCTGAGTGAGCTGTAGTATTACTGGAATGAAAACTTACCAACAGCTAAGTGTTTGCTATGCTACACTAATGTATCTTGCAGATACTGCCAAGTGTAAATGACTTTTCTACAAAGGAAAAACTGTTTATGTCCCATTGTTGTTGTTGTTAAATGCCATTGAGTCAGTTCCAAACCACAGTGAACCTGTATAGGGTTTCCGAAGAGCAGCTGGTGAGCTTGAACTGCTGACCTTGTGGTTCAAACCAACTCTACTTGTAATACTATTTAACAATTATTGTTAAGTGCCGTTGAGTTGATTCTGACCCACAATGACACTGTATAGGGCTTCTGCGGAGCAGCTGGTGAGGTTGAACTGCCAACCTTGCAGTTCAAATGGCTTCGCAGTCTGGTGCATTAACCCACAGCACCACGCCAGGACTCCAAGGGCAAAAAATTCCAGAAACACATAAATCACTACAGAAGCTGTCTTTAAGAGGGAACTAAATATAAGAAGTCGCTTTAAGAGGTAGTCAAAATAAGAGACACTGCTCTTCTTTTGACTTTTTAATTAATATTAATCATCACTAAGCAACATACCCGTTGTTGAATAGGCCAGGGCTTAGTTATTGCAGAAAGATCACAAGCTGTCATCAGCATCGCTCTGTTACAGAGAAAAAGAAACCCAATACTACTATTTACTTTCATGTGAATGTGTAACCTCAGTAAATAGTCACTAAGTTAAATTAAGGCCCTCTAAACAATGGCAGTGACAATTCATGAGGAGTAAAGAAATGAAAACAGAATTCATACAGAGGCCTGACCGATGCAGTGACAACAGGGTGACATTGTTCTGGTTACCCTGTGAACTCTTGGAATTTACCCTCAAATCACCTCACTTAGCTCCAGTCTGGCACAAAGAGAAATTATTAACCTCTGGGCAAAAACATGCCTGCTAGTGTGATTTTTTTTTTTTTAAAACGTGGTATCTCATTCCTAGTGACAATACAATGAAAGCTCGCTGATTACTAATAATTAACCATTCAAGATATCCTACTGAAAAAAAGTCCTATGTCAGAAAGGGTTATGGTGGGTTATTCGAATCCACTCAACACATAGTGATTTCCATGTGCAAAGCCTTTGAAAAACTAAATGACCTCCACCAGAGAAAAAGAAATGAGAGCAAGTATAATGCTCCTTAGTCCCTCTTTAAAGAAAAATGAAAACCATGGCGAGCTCTGGGGTCTGTGACAAAGCCCTCTAGAATACAACAACCATTGTATGGTTCTCTCTTTTGTTTAGTGTTTTTCTATGCCAGATCCAAATATCTACCATTGTTGTTGTTAAGTGCTGTCGAGTCAATTCTAACCCATAGCAACCCTGCATAGGGTTTCCAAGGAGCAGTTGGTGAGCTTGAACCACAGACCCTGTGCTGTGGTTCAAACGACTTTGCAGTCTGACCATATGCCTCCTTTAATATGTTTGAAGAAACAGGAAAGGTCATACTGTAATATAGAAACACTACAGGAAAAGGGCTATTATCATTGATTCTTCTAGGGAAATCCAACCTAAAAGCATAATCTCTCTAGCTATCAAGAAAATGGAATTGATTCTACTGTTATTCTATCTTCCACAATGTCTCTCAAAAAATACTTTTAATCATTGCTTGAACTCATTTTCATTGAGGATTTCAATAATACTTGCCATATCATACTGACTCGCCCAAAGATCATTACGTACTTGTATGAGCTTAACTTCTTGTTAGCTTCTGTAGAGCTGCCTCCAACTCATGGTAACCTCAAGTGAAATGGAACAAAATGCTGTTTGGATCTAGGTCATCCCATGGTCCATTGCAAATCAAGCCACTGTGATACATAGGGCTTTCACTGACTGCTTTTGGAAGTAAATTTCCAGTTTTTTTTTTCTAGTTCATCTTACTCTAGAAGCTCTGCTGAAACCTGTTCAGTATCATTTGTTGTTGTTGTTAGGTGTCATCAAGTCAGTACCGACTCATAGCGACCTTATGCACAGCAGAACAAAATACTGCCTGATCCTGGGCCAACCTCACTACTGTTGTCATGCTTGAGTCCATCGATGCTGCCACTTGGCTAGTCCATCTCGTTAGGGGTCACAGCAACATGAAAACTTCTACTGATGGATAGGTGGTGGTTATGTACTGGCCAGGAATTGAACCTGTGTCTCTGGAATGGAAGGGGAGAATTCTACAGGAACTACCACTTCCCAATGAGCTTAACTACAATGTAGAAAAGAAAGGGGGCAAGAGGGTATGTCTAGCACTAGATCTTCTGATGGTGAGCAGTTATAACTCAGGAGCGTGAAACAGGGAGTCTGTGGCATAGACTAGAATTAAGGTTCGATTTCATTTTGTTATTAAGAATGTCTGTTTACTAAACAGAGTAGATGTCTGTACATTTCTGAAGCACATGCTGAGACTATAGATTAAGTGGAGTATGACTGTAAGAACAGACAGCTGTGCATTGATGATTTCCTTTAGTCTGTATCTTTAGTCACATACTAAGTAATAAGAATCTATCTAAGGAAATGTTGATTCCAAAATTGTATAAACACTATCCTTATTTCTGCTCCTGACTTACTTTTCTTTATTGTTGTTAAGTGCCACTCAGTTGGTTCCAACTAATAGTAATCCCATATAGGGTTTCAAAGGAGCGACTGGTGAGTTTGAACTGCCCACCTTGTGGTTCAAGTTGACCTTGCAGTCCAGTGCTTTATCCCACAGGGTCACATCAGGACTCCACTTTTCTTTATACTGTCTCTTTATTCTTTTTCATTAATGAGTTCTTGCCATGGCAAAGGGAGTAACAGCAAAGGAATGGCATATATGAGGGGGCTTCAAAAAGTCCATGGAAAAATTCTATTATCTTTTAATTCTATTCTTCCATGATCTTTCTGAAGCACTCTCATACAGCTAGAAGACAGGAGGGATGAAGTACTCATGAGGACAAACAGAAAGCTTTTAGGGCTCCAGTTCTGACAGCATGGCTCTGCCACCTTTCAAGAAATGACCATATAGCCATTTCCATCCATATTCCCAATGTCTATTTCCAGCTCTTCCATTCTGAAGAATTGGAAAAATAACAAGGGAGTACTACAGCCCTGTACTGACATTCTATCATATTTTCTATGTCCTTTCAGAATAAAGGGGCAATTTAGTCACTTGAATTGACAAATAATTTTTTTTTCTCAAATTATTCATATATAGTTCTTGGTACAGCATTCTGGAGAATTCTGACAACAGCTGAAATACCATCTTGTAACAATAATGGCAATAAAATCTGATAGTGGGAAAAATTAATTGGATAGTAAAACTTTAGATTTAAGGAGAATAAACCTACTTACAAAAATAACTCCTTTTGATGAGGATCTTCCAGACTGAACTGCTTCTTTTTTATGAGTTCAAAAAATTCTCCTCGCCTCCTTGAAATTAAAAAAACATTTGGTAGTTATAATAATTATTTATGCTCTTATGACTTTGCTCTACAAAGATTCATGGAGTAAAATTTGAGGAAAACAATCTTTAGTGGTTTTATTCCTTTCTTAGAACCCAATACAAAAACCACTGTTGAAGAATCTTTAGTACTTCATTTTATCTTTTTCAATAATTTTCTTTGGATAAAACATTAAATGTCATATAATTTCTAAATTCCGATCTCAAATAATGGTAATTTTATTTCTTGAACATTATTTACTTTCAGAAAATAAAAGTTATAAATTTCCCAAGAATTATTTAAGTGCATGGCATAATAAGATCTATGTTGTTAAGTGCCGTCGAGTCAGTTCCGACACAGAGCAACCCTGAAGAGGGTTTCCGAGGAGAAGCTGGTGAGCTTGAACAGCTGACCTTATGGTTGAAACTGACTTTGCAGTCCAATGTATTAACCTGCAGCGCAACACCAGGACTCCCAAATATGGTTTATAAATGAGGTGGCTTCAAAAAAATGTGTGGAAAAATCCCATTATCTTTTTTTTTTAAAAGGTTTTTATTTTAGATTGAGTGAAAGTTTACAGGGAAGATTATCAGTTTTACATTTAACAAATTATACATCTTGTCTCATGACAATGATTATAATCCCCTCCATGTACCATCAGTTAATAGATTTCTCTCTATTCACTCTAGCTTTAAAACAAACAAACAAAAAAACCACTCAGGCATATATATTAATTTATACCTCCAAGGGGCACATTCTGCAAGTCAGCCTCCTGACGACCAGCACTTAGGCCCTCTCTTCCCATGAATCTAGAATCCTCAGCCACTCCCCCTCTCCATGACCCAATCAATCTCTGCCTCCGTCTCTGGTGTTGCTGCTTCTTGGGATAAGGTCCCGTATTCTGCTTGTGTTCTTTTCCCTTGATGGTCCTAGGGTTCTCTGTTTCTGGACTGTAAGATTAACCACTCCCATTTTTGTTACAAAACTTCTACCTTTACAATTCACTCCCATTTTTGTTACAAAACTTCTACCTTTACAATTGTGACAGTCGCAATTAGTCCTGATAACAATTACTCACTATTGAATCATACAAATCTTATCCCCATCTCTTTTCACCAGACCCATCTAGACAAGATGAAAACTATTCAGTGGGGATTCTGTTTCCCCCTCCTCCCCCCCCCCCCACAATAGTCTTAAACTAAATTCCCTTTTGAATCCTTGTAAGCTAGTTGCTTTGTGCCTTTATCGCCCCCTCATTTTAGGTAGCCAATGTCTAAATTGCCTAATCCTATCTACCCTGTGTACAAAGGGGGATAGCATTGATACTTGATGTGACGACTCCTTACCTGTTGGTATTTAGAGTTATTACCTCCATGAGTATAGGTCAAGTTCATCAAATTGTAGCAATTTACCCTTGTTTCCTTTATCAAAATTTTTTTTTTTTTGTAATCTTCCTCTAGTCAAATTCTGATTACCAAGCCATCGAGGTTAGATCAAATGGTTACTGTCTGTAAGTTTGGGTGTTCTCGTGCATCTCCTCTCATTTCATATCAGCTGGACACTTCACTCTCAGCTCTAGTGTTCTGAGGCTATGTCCTTGTCCATGGGCTCAATTGTCCCCAGGTCTCACCACACTTTGGACCAAACAGCCCTTCCTCTTCTCTCTGTCAGCTCCAGGTCAATGGGACTTAATGGACGGTGGTTGAACTCATCCCATTTCTTCATTGCTGCCTTTCTCCCTCTTCCACTCACCAGTAGATCAATGTGGTTGCCAGCAAGCTTACATACCTGTTTGTGTGTTCCCTTTGAGTTTCAGTCTTAGAGGGGAGTTAGTTTGTCCTGAATGAACTTGATTGCTTCCTGGCGAACACTTTGCTTATGCTTGTAGTAGCTACTCATGCTGACTTTTTTGTTTTGGGTTTTTCCTGATTACCTTTCTTTGAAGATGTATCTTCTGTCACTTTAGCTGTTCCAGGCTGGTCTGCTTGTCCTTGCTAGTGGGAATGTCCCACCTCAGAAAGCTCTGGATGGGACTCAGGATTCCACTTAAGGTCCTATACTCTGCAAAGGCTTTGCAAGAGGCCTATTTCACTGGGAAAGTACTAGAACCCCTTTTAGGTATTCCAATCAGTTATAGGCTGAAGATGGGCTTACAAGTTTTCTGTAATCATGTTGCCCAACATTCCTTTCTGTCCTACTGAAGTGTCTATTTTACATTAGTAGGCAAGGAAAACCAATATTCATAATTCAGTCAAGCATTTTAGTATTATTTCCCCTCTTCAAACTATGCATCGAACCATGTATCACAGAGCCCTGTAGTTCTTAGGTTGAGCATGCGTCACTATTTACCTCTGTCCCACTTAGGCCATGCAAACCTGTCTCAGTGTTCCCTATCTATCCTGTTCTTCCACCTTCTTGTATTGCCCTCCCCAACACCTGAACTAAACCCCCCACCCCAACCCCACTGTTGTGGTTACCTTTGTTGTTGTTGTTAGGTGCCGAGTCAGTACCGACTCATAGCGACCCTATTCACAGCAGAATGAAACACTGCCCGATCCTGGGCGAACCTCACTACTGTTCCCACGCTTGAATCCATCAATGCTGCCACTTGGCCAATCCATCTTGTTTTGGGGGTCTTCCTGTTTTTCTTTGACCCCTCCACCTTACCAAACATGATATCCTTCTCCAAAGTATGAGAGATGAAGTTTGGCCATCTTCATCTCCAAGGAGCACTCTGGCTGCACTTTTTCCAAAACAGATCTATTGCTTCTTTTGGCAGCCCATGGCACTTTAAATATTCTCCTCCAACACCATAACGCAAACGTATCAATTCTTCTACGGTCTTCCTAATTCACTGTCCAGCTTTCGTATGCATATGAGGTTGTTGAAAATAACATGGTTTGAGTCAGGTGTACCTTAGTCCTCAAGCTGACAATTTTGGTCTTCAGCACTTTAAAAAGTTCCTGTGCAGCAGATTTGCCTAATGCAATACGTCCTCTGATCTCTTGACTGCTGCTTCCGTGAGTGTTGATAGTTGATCCAAGAAGAATGAAGTCCTTGACAACTTCAATCTTTTTTCCGTTGATAAGAATG